TCAAATCAATCTAGAGACTGGAGATAGGCCTCTTAAGTTTCTTTGTTATCATTTCAATTCTCATGATGCTAAACAGACCAAGGTTTAAAAAGGTACAGAATCAGTGTTAGTATGTGGACTTACTGGACAATGAAATGGTTTATATCTACTTTAAGAATTTTATTTTCCAGATTAAACAAAATACATAGTTATAACAATATAGTATAACTTACATTAAAAAAAGATTAATTAAAAATCGGTTAATATTGTTAAATGTTGTCAATCCCTTTTCTCCTTTAAGGATTATTACTATCCCTCACCTGTCTGTTGTCATTGACTTTTAATGTCAAACAGTCTAACATAGCACATTAACAGTTTACACATAGTTTTTGTTCAATAAGTCTTTGTCAAATGGGATTTCAGCTGAGAATAGGCTGTTGAACATTTTATGTAGCATCATGATTATTAATTGAATTATTTTTAAATTAAAGAAAACTACTTAGGGGTGGATAAAGATTGGTATTCATGTAACCTAGAATTGAATTTTCATTAACTTGTTTTTTATAGCTTTTTTTAAAGTTCTTAAAATCTTATAATTAAATTTATTTTGAAATCAAGTTTTCTCAGGTGTAGGAAACTGCATTCAGAAGACTTCAGTATGCTCTTCTGACTTCTGTTTTCCTTATGGCAAAGAAAAGAACTTTGTTGCCTTTGACATTAGGAATGGAGGGCTCAATTTGAATGATCCAGGCTTTTGTCAGTTTTTGAAGGAATAACTATGAAAGCTTTAGTTAAAAGAATTTTGGACTTGATGGATATCAGATTAAGCAGCATTTATTGAATTTGTGTGGTTCTCATTTAAAAACTTAATATTGTATTCATTTATCTTTTTTTAGGGTTGTAGATCTCTGTAGAAACGTAAAAGAAAGAATAATAAGGGAATGCAAAGAAAAGGGTGTTCAGTTTGCTCCTTTTTCTACATGCAGGTGAGTTGCTCTTACACTCTATATTCTGAAAAACTTCTTTTTTTAATCAATGGGGAAAATATAATTTACCAGCTCAAGAAAAGCTTCGTTTTATTCCATTTGGCAAGCTTTCTTAAACTTCACTTAACCACCTTGTTAGGATTGTGCCACGAACATTTTACAGTAGTCCTGAGCCCTGTAGGAGTGGGACACCCTTCTGTGTGTAGGCCTTCTACCCTATCTGCACAGATTGCAGTGAAGAGCCAAGAAAAAAGGAGGACTCCTTCATTTACTGAAACTATAAATTATATGGTCAAGAAACTATAAATTGTATATATAATCAACATAGCTCTTTCTTCATCAGAGAAGAAATCCGTTTAACCATTTTAATTTTTATTAAATGATTGGGACTGGAATAAAGGAATGTGAGGAACAAAAGATCCAAGTGACAACTCAGTGCTTTCCAGGAGATCTTTCTTCGATAATGGAAATATTCTATATCTGGACTGTCCAATATGGTAGCCACATGGGGCTATCAAACAATTGAATGTGGCTAGTGTGACTGTGAAACTGAATTTTAAATTTTATTTCTTAATTAATTTAAATTTACAAATGCCACATGTTCTGTATTCCATGTTGAACATGTTCCGTATGAGATAGTGCATGGTTAACTGATGATCTTGCCCTTTTTGTTAAATAGCAGCAGCCCAAAAGGAGGTTTTCTTGAGAAGGGGCACTTTGTATTCAATCTTTTGATATTAATTTTCTGTGTAAACACGTTGAGTTGAACATTTGACTTCTCGAAAAAGTTATAGAATTAATTTGAATGGAAAATAAATGCAAATCAGATTATGAAATGGAGAGCCTTAAAATAAGTGATACAGTAGTAATCTGGGACTTTAAAATTTATTGAACATTTTATATTGTATAAATTGCCTTGCTTTTTTTCCTTCTGTGTGTGTGTGGGGGGGG